TCTACGACAACTACCGCATAGTGGACCTGCCCCGGCACTGCATCAGCACTTGGTTCCTCTCCCTCCTTCTGGTGGAGTTCGTCTACTACTGGGTCCACCGGTCGCTGCACGAGATCAACATCTTCTGGGCGAGTCACCAGTTTCACCACAACGCCGTGGAGATTGACATCTCCACTACGCTGCGAGACACCGTCGTCGACCTGATCATCTACGAGGTCAACTATTGTCAACTTTTCCTCTTTTCTAACTTCTCTTTACTAATTTCCGCTTTTTCTTTTTCAATTTACAGTTCTTCCCCACTCCTCTCGCTCTGATCGTTCCACCGCCGATTCTCCTGGTGCACATGCAGTTCTCCCTCATCTACCAGGTTTGGCTGCACACCGAGGTGGTGAGCCACCTGGGCCCAATTGAGTACCTGGTGAACACTCCCCGCCAGCACCGCGTCCACCACGGCAAGAACCCCTACTGCATTGACAAGAACTACGGCGCCCTGCTGATGATCTGGGACCGCGTCTTCGGCACCTACCAGGCGGAGATGGACGAGGAGAAGGTGGTCTTCGGCACCACCACCAAGGGCTACGAGACCTTCGACAGTGTGACGCTGCACTTCTACTACTACTACGACACCGTCTGGCGGAAGTTCCAGGCAATGGAGGGCTGGCGCGACAAGGCGAAGGCCCTCTTCTACGGGCCGGGCTGGGAGCCGGGAAAGCCGAGGACCGGCCTCCTGGAGGACATTCCCCGCGTGGACCCGTACGCGCAGATTGAGCGTTTCGACCGACAGGTCGGCTTTTGGACCTCCTTCTACGTGTTGGTGCACTCCTTTCTGGTGGCCCTCGGCTTCTACGTGGTGACAGACCATCCGCTGGTGCGCAACTCGCCCCTCAATGCGCTGGTCATCATGCTCTACGTGCTCTTTGCGCTGACCGCCTTTGGGACCATTTTTGATCGAAGGTAAACAAACTGGAAAACTTAGCAAAATTTTGTATTAATTGAGTTTAACTTTCTCCTTCTAGATCCATCGCCCCGCTGGTCGAATCACTCCGTTGTCTGCTCTTCTTCCCCTTCGACGCCCTGGTGATCCGGCCCTGGCTGGAGCAGCTCTCTCCACCTGCCCACCTGACGCCCTTCATCNGTTGAACGAAATTTTGTATTAATTGAGTTTAACTTTCTCCCTCCTAGGTCCATTGCCCCGCTGGTCGAATCACTCCGTTGTCTGCTCTTCTTTCCCTTCGACGCCCTGGTGATTCGTCCCTGGCTGGAGCAGCTCTCCCCACCAGCCCACCTGACGCCCTTCATCCTCGGCTCCATCGACCTGCTCCGCCTGCTGCACATCGCCTCCGTCGCTCTCTGGATCTTCATCTGGTACCGCACCGTGGCGGACAACCATGGGCTGGAAAACCGCAAACTGGGAGGTCTTAACGGAGGCGGTGGCGGCCTTTTTGCTCCCATTGGCGACAAGGCGATGCTGCTGAAGGAGGACAAGTGCATCGCCGCCGGTGTGTACAGCAACAACATCAATGTGATCAACCAGCGACGGCCCTGGCAGAACGCCCTCTACGCGGTGCTTATCATCTTCTCGCTCTGCGTCATGTGGTTCTCCTTTGCCCTCCGCTTTGACCACTGCAATGGCCTGCTGAAGGGCGCCACGCCGGAGCGGATGTCCATTGAGCTGTAGACTGCACTAAAGATTGCACCATTTTTACACTAAAGACACACACCTCTCCCACCTCATAGCAACACAACCCAAACACTACCAATCAATCAACCAAGGACTCACACCCAAGAACGACATACACACCTGTTTGATACATGTTTACTGTAACTCTTAGAAACGCTCGAAAATTCAACAAAAAAAATAGATACACTGATGACAAAGAGAGAATGAGAGATTTGCCTCCCCTCCTCCTCCTCCTTTTCCCTTGGCTTTTTATCTTTCAAAAACTAACACAGCTCATGTCTAACGATGATGATTGTTGAGGACAACAACAGAAAGAAAAATACAACATCAAGATCAAGAATACTTTTCGAAAATCTCCTTCTCCTTCTCTCGTATTCAATCATAAGCGGGCAAACCGTACTCTTCGGGCTTAAACTGCTCCAGCGAGTCGAGCGTTTGGTAGGCGACGACGGCGTCCCGGGGCATCCTCGGATCTGGGACCCAGACGGAGCGCATGCCCGCGGCGTTGGCCGCCTGCACGCCCGCCACCGAGTCCTCAAAGACGAGGACGCGGGACATGTCCGTGGGGCGGTTGCCCTCGTCGAAGCGGGCCGCTGCGACGAGGAAAGTCTGCGGATGGGGCTTGCCGGCCACTATCTCCGGGTCCTCCGAGGCGATCAGTATGTGGTGGAAGAGGCTGAAGAGCTCCTGGTGCGGCTTCGTCTTCAGGTTGAAGGTGAAGCCCTTGCTGCTGGTGGCGACGGCGATTGGTACGCCCTTTGCGGACAGGTGGCGGACCAGCCGCTCTGCGCCGGGCATCAGCGGGATGTACTGCGAGAAGACCTTGCGGTACTCGGCGTCCACCAGTTCGCTGTACTGCTCGTAGGTGATCGGCAGCTGCAGTGTGTCGACGATGATCTGAATGCCCTCGGTTGCCTTGCGGCCCATGATCTTGCCTGGATTAACACAGTGATAAGATCAAGAATCTGAAACTTGAAGAATCGACGACTTACGCTTCAACTCAAATGGATACTCGTGTCCGTAGGCGCCCACCACATTGCCGATTGCCTTCTCGTACTGCGTCTCGGTGTCTGCATGAGCAAAAGGAGGAAATTATCATCATCATCATCACTATCATCACCCCCTTCAATAGCTTACCGAGCAGCAGGCCGTCCATGTCAAAGATGACGTGGGTGATCTTTGGTGACTCGTTGCTGGGCATTGTTGTTATGGAAACTATTGAAAAGACTGTGAAGAGATCAGAGAAAAAGTGGACGGTTCTGATGACTGAAGAAGCTGAACAAGTTAGAGGACAGTTCAGCAGAAGAAGAAGAAGAAGCAGAAGCAAGACCGGTGAAGACAAGTGTCAGTGTCCGATTGCCAAGTGGTGATAAGAGGACGACGACGACAATGACTGAAGCACACCAAAGCGACTGACTGAATTTACTGACGCAATGGTAAGCAAACTCACTCAAACTCACTCACTAAAGAACTCTCTGAGCCGACGATGACAGCTGCTGCTGCTGCTGCTGTACAGAATACTGGTAATACCGCTGTGAGTAGTGCCGAAAAGTGACTGAATCCAGTGTGCACCAGCGGGTGCCTTTTAAGAGAGCAGCAGCAGCAGCAGCAGACAGCAGACACTGACTCCGGTAGTGCACTTGCAGCGATAGTGCAGCAGAAATGGCAAGGGCAATGGAAGTGATGTTACGCAAGAGGTGCACTGAAAGAGGATGGCGTCGGCGCCTTTCCCTCTTGCTCTCTATTCAGCGTTTCTTTCTGCGCCCACTCAGTAACTCAGTTTCAGTTGCTGCTGCTCACGTGAACACTTGAAACGCTGCTGCTGCAGCTGTTCTTATCAATGACCACTATCTTAACCGCTAACCGGTCCCTCGAAATTCCCCCCTCCTTCATCTTTGGTGATGGTGGAAATCTTCCACTGTGTCTCTGTTAGCAGCAGGTTTATTGGAACTCTTTAAACTCTGTGCAGAGTAGAGAACAAGAGGAATTAGATTTAGGGAACAGCAAAACAAGGAAAAAGGGATCACGCTTTTGTCGTTTCAGTGTCCTCCTTTTTCTCTTCCTCTGCCGGTTCCTCCTCCTCCTCAATAGCGGCATTGACGCCCTGGTAGTTCTCCGTCTTCATGTCGTTGATGCCCAGCTCCTCGTTCTGCTCCCAACTGCGAGTGTACCGCTCCACCTTGGTCGCCCCCTCCAGGTAGCTATTACCACAAGGGTCATCGAGGAGAATGGTGCAGCCGACCAGGTTCTGCAGCCGAGTGGTCAGGTGGTCCACCTTCCGCTTGACGTCCTCGCGGCTCGAGTCGCCGTCGATAAAAGGGTTCGAGGTGCGCAGGTCGTCGATCATGTTCAGGCCGAGGCCTTGGACGGTGGTGTACCGACCGGAGCCGGTGGAGCTGAGGTGGAGGGCCAGCTCGGGAATGGTAATGTCGCAGGTGTCCGATCGGACGACCTCCTTCTTCAGGTCCGCCTCCTCCTTCACCTCGAGGGTGATGCGCACGCCGGTCTCCTCAAAGCCGGCCGCCGATTTGATCTCATTCGTCTTGTGGCCGCAGACGTCGCAGTTGGTGGCCATGATGAGGATCTCCTTGAAGTGCGGAATGGCGGTCATCTTCATGTTGGTGAAGCAGGGGGCGTTGCAGTGCGGACAGTTGGTGGCGAACTGCAGCACCTCGTCTTTGAGCTTCTCTTTTTTCCCTCCTTTTCGGTCGCCTTCTTCCTCTTCTCCATCCTCCTCCTCGTTTTGGTAGATGCCCAGCAGCTTGTCGTCCTCGATGGTGCGAATGAAGCCGGTCTCCTCGAGCTGCGGGTCCGCCTCCGGGGCGAGGTAGTTCTCCACAAAGCTGTTGCCGCTGATGTCCTCGATTATCAGCGTGAAGGGGCTGGTCAGCTCCTTGAGGGCGGCCATCCGCTCGATGTACTGCCGCAGCGGCCCTCGGGTCGTCTCCTCGTCCTCCTCGTTACCCTCTTCCTTCGAACGGTCATAGGAGTACTGCAGTCCGGTGATCGCCCGGTCGATGATGCCTTCGACGGTGGTGATCAGGCCGTTCTGCTGCTTCACCTCAAACTCAATCTCCGGTATCTTCACCTGCGCCCACTCCGTCTTGACGATCGTCCGCGAGAGGTCCTTCGCCTCCTTGACGGCCAGCTCGAAGCGGACGCCCTTCGGGCCNGCTCCTTGAGGGCGGCCATCCGCTCGATGTACTGCCGCAGCGGCCCTCGGGTCGTCTCCTCGTCCTCCTCGTTACCCTCTTCCTTCGAACGGTCATAGGAGTACTGCAGTCCGGTGATCGCCCGGTCGATGATGCCTTCGACGGTGGTGATCAGGCCGTTCTGCTGCTTCACCTCAAACTCAATCTCCGGTATCTTCACCTGCGCCCACTCCGTCTTGACGATCGTCCGCGAGAGGTCCTTCGCCTCCTTGACGGCCAGCTCGAAGCGGACGCCCTTCGGGCCGATCTGCTGCGCCGGCTGCAGTTCATTGTTGCGGAAGTGACAGTGCGGGCACTCGAAGCTGATCACCACCACCTGCTTGAAGAAGGGAATTTCAGTGAGGAGCATCCGCGTGAGGCCATTTTCGCCGCAGTTGACGCAGTACGACTCGATCTCCGTGACGATGTTCTCCTCCGCCTCGACGGCGTTTCGCAGCTCCGGGAAGAGTGGTTGATGATCTGATGAGGCCATGATCTGGCTGGTTGTTCGAAAAGTAAAGAAAGTAAAGAAGATTCAAGATTCTTGAAGGTTCAAAAAGCTTTGAAGAGCCACGTGAAACTCACTACCAAAACATCAGCGATTCGATTGTTGTCTGCCGGCATGAACGATGGTATCGATGGTATTTTCATCACACATTTTTCGCTGAAGTTTTTTGCAGCTCCAGGAAACTCTGATCGAAGTTCTTCTCGTTTTCAATTTCGAATTTCGTTCATTTCCCTTTCCACCCGTCAAACCGGCGATTGAGCTGCCTCCGAAGTCAATCAAAGCATGAAGAGAACATCTCCGATGAAGCGACGTCCTACTACTGCCACTAAAAAGGTACCGTGTTTTATTCAATTTCCTTGCCTCAAACAGTGCACACCTTTCCTTCCCTTCCCTTCTGATTTGACAAGTGTTTTCGAAAAAAAAACTGATCATCGCCGTCGACAAAACTTGCTCATTTAACATGCTCGTCATTTTGATGATTAGAAAAGCAGCATGAGCATCATTTCGGTTACTTGCTTGAAAACGGGCTCGACGTCAAACGCTTTGGCAGCTTTACCGCAGCAGCTGCAGTTGCCACCGTTATGCTAATCCTCCCTCTATTGAGCGCCGTAAATGGTGCGAATCACAATATCCAAGCTGGAACTCGATGAACTTGCTTTGTACTGCCGAGCTGCAGTAATTGACCGACTAATCGATGTATTTTATTTGCGTAACACCAATGTACAAAGTATAATGAGCCCTATTTTTGTCACCGACAAAAAGAACATGTGTTCTCAGTACTTCTCCCGCCACCCTGATCACATGTTCGCCGTTCTTGGGTTCGATTTCCGATCATTTAGTACGCTTGCACTGCAGACTGAGTGCCAATTAGGAAGCTAATGATCGCCGTGACGTCGTCATTGTTGTTGTTGTGCTTTGTTGGTGCAACACAAACACACTCTAAATTAGCATCGTTTGTTTGCTCAGCAAAGGTGCCATCCTCAGCATCCTCTTTCTTCTCTCCACTGCTGTAGTTTAAAGTTGCAGTCTTTGAATTCCGACACTATTATTGTTTGCACTAACTATAGTCATCTTCATGTCTTCATTGCATCTCCTACCGTTGTTTAGACTTGTTAGACACACACAAAGGCCACACTGTCGAGCTTGAATTTGAAGGTAAGGAAGCAGCTGCTGTTTTTTTACAGCTCTTCGATGCTATCGACGACATCGCCGTCATCTTTCCTTCTTTTCGTCGGATGCTCCGAGCGCTTCCCTACCTTCCCCCTTTTCTGCTGAAGGTGTCGAAGTTTCTCAGTTGGTCTGCAACTGATGTGTGGTGTCTGAGTCTGTGATTTATGTACAGGAGAGTGGAAGAGAGGGAGAGAGAGAGAGAAACAGAGTTGCCATCTAATCAGCGGCAGCGGTGCGCCGCTGTTCCTGTGCACATTGTCCATTGTGTGATCCGCTGCCGCTGCTGCTTTGGCCGCCAATTGACACTCGCTGACAGATATGCTGCTGATGCTGTCGAGGAATATTGTTGGCACTGACTACTGCTGCTGCCTGCTTCTGCATTCGCGGCGGCATCTCTTGATGCGGCTGCTGCTGCTATCAATCGGCCGCGAGGAAGTGCGTGCCTGAGCGAGTGAGTGAGTTCGAGATGAGATGAGATGAGCACACATACTCACACATACTCACACTGCAAGTGCGAATTGCAGTGCGAGGTTTTCGAGGTTAATTGCTATCCAATGCAGTTAATGCCGCCGCCGCCGCCGCTGCAATTAGCTTTAGAGTAGTAGTGGAGATCGTCACTACTCAATTTAGCAGATCTCACAGCAACTGCTGCCGCTCGTGGGAGACATTTTTCCAACTACTACTACTGCTGCAACTCGATTTCAATTTCGACTGTCGGAGTTTAAAGTTATTCACTGCTGCTAAGTGTGTGGATGAGGACTGGAAAACGCTAATCGGTGCGACAGATCTTCAGTGACCTATAGGTGTCACACACATAAACTTTAGCAGTGGTGGCAGTGGTGGTGGATTAAGCTGTCTTAAATCTCAGTCTCAGTCTGTCAGCCTGATGTGATCGTAAAAGAGTCTTTTAGTCCTCTACTTGCTAATCGTCGGCACTTCTCTCTCACTCTTTCTTATCACTGCATTCACTGAGCGTTGTACTTTTGTATTATGGGCTCCTTCACTCTTTCAATCTCTATTCGGGTGTGTTCAGTGCTTCTCAGTTTGGCTGTCATCTGACCACGGCTGTCCATCCACCGCCACCACCACGACTACCTGTATGTGTGTGCGAAGTACAACACACACACACACACACACACCTTGTGACTGACGGACTGCTCTGATAACGACTTGGCGGCAAAGAGGCCTCCTTCGCAGGAGATTTGCCTATTGACGGCCTTGCTGGTGATGGTGATAGTTTAGAGCCGAGAAGTTCTCTTTCTGAAGTTTCTCTTTTTTTGGCTAAAAATTTTTGGTCAGCGGCGACAAGGTCTGATGTGCTCTAACTCACTC